TCTCTCTCTCACTCTCACACACACACACACACAGACACAGACCGCAACATAAACATATATGCAACACAAGCACAAGCCCTAAAACGAGAAACAACCGAATTTAACAAAGAACCGAAACTACTGACTCTTGTCCACACAGAAGTATCCATCCTCGAAGGAGTCGTCGTTGACACAGTCCTGATTCCTGGGACACCTAGGCCGGTCACACTGGTACGACACGGACGGTGCTGAAATGGCAAAGCAATAATGCATGTTTTAGGGTAGAAGCAAGGAGGTTACAATTAATAATAATAAATGACCTTTATTAATTAATAATAATAAATGACCTTTATTAATTAATAATAATAAATGACATTTATGTTACAGTAAAGGAGGATGCTCTGTAAGGTCTTTGGGTAGAAGAAAACTTTAACTCTCCATCAGTGACAGACTTGACCTAGTTTGCGCATTGACGGTCTATATTATCTCAGTAGGGGATCCGCATTTTGGTCACCATTACGTTATTCGCGAAGTCCTATTTTTAACTTGTTTTAAGAATGGGGGGTGGGGGCGAGGAGGAGATTTACTTTGATTTGATTTTGTTTTAACTTGAGTAATATAAGATGCCTGAAGTACATTCAAAAGATAATGGTGATCTAGCGCGCAGAAAATGTAAGGAAGACGGACAGAAACTCCACAACGAAGAGAAAAGAAGTGGGGCTAATCAATAGTACCCTTCGCCTACTCCAAACAATGTTTGAAACAAGATGAAACCGAAAAAGAAGAATTAAATAATAGAGTCAAAAAGCAATACATCTTTCGTACATTTAATGAACAGTAACATGTACAAATAAAATAACATTTGCTTTAAAGATAATAAGGAAGTTACAATCGAAATTGTATTCTTCAAAATATTGACTTGAGATGTTTCCGAAAAATTTATTTTTTCTTGATAATAGTCCGTTTTTCCCTTCCGTTGTAAAATTGTACCCCCCCCAAACAACTAATATACTGTATCTTAGTTCAAAGTGATAATAGAGAGTAGTACCTGTACACTTGGCGTAGATGTTGCAGTATCCAGAGGAGCACTCTCGCTCACGGACGCACTTCATGTCTCCTCTACACTCGTCCTGGGAACATTGAACGAAATACACGTAATAATAAGAGTGGTCATGTGTGCATGTTTACATTCATACTATGTGGACGCTTTTAAGCACAAGGGGGCTATCCCACAAAAAATGCTGTCGTGAGAAAATCGAAGGTGAAATTTTTGCCCCTTGTTCAGTTTCTTTAAAAGACAAGGAGAGTTTTCTCTATAACCAAACACATATACACACCAATGAAACCAAACTTCTCCTATAGGTAGGGCAATGCCCATTTTTGGTGTAGGTCAAGATTTCTGGAACCCCCCGAAATCTAGGCTAGCCCGCTTGTCCTTAAAAGCGACCATATTGCCTTTTTAACTGTAAGCCTTCGCGAGAAAATTGAGGATTGTCTTTCTTAACTCATGTTGTATTGTCTTACCCAAAACATAAACAATAAAAACAATAACAACAGTATGGCGTCTTTCTTTCACAGTTTTGTCTTCAGTCTGGGAGCAGGAGGAAGGGAAAATGGTGCTGAGATACACAAACACACACACACACACACACACACACACACACACACACACACACACACACA